ATTCCTTCTTCCTTCACCAAATTAGGGAAGTTTTCTATCAGTATTTCTTCAAATATATTCTCTAACCCTTGCTCATTTTCTTCTTCTTCGGGGACTCCTATGATGTGAATATTAGTATGTTTCCACTTGTCCCACAGTTCTCTTAAGCTGTCTTCCTGTTTTTTAATTGTTTTCTTCCTTTTGGTTTTCTGTTTGCTTGATTTTTTTTCTACCCTGTCTTCTAATTCACTGATCTGGTCCTCAGCTTCTTCTACTCTGTTATTTAGACCTTCCAATGTGTTCTTTATTTCTGATATGTCATTCTTCATTTCTTCTTGGTGGTTTTTAATTTCCAACTGGTTGATTTTCAACATTTCTATGTCTTTACTCATGGTGCTCATGTCTTTACACATGCTGTTGAACTTCCTCAAGATCATGGCTGTGAATTCTAGTTCTGTTAACTTGCTTAATTGCACCTCATTTATTTCATCTTTAGTAGAGGTCTCTTGTTCTTTCATTTGGCATTTGTTTCTTTGTTTCACCATTTTGGCTATCTCAGTGGGCTTTGGAGCCTGCCAAATTTTCCCTGTGAGTGTTGGTGTTCTGTTGTTTGTGGCATCCTCTACTGGGTTTGGATGAGTGTGGGAGGAACCACGTTAAACATCACTGTCAAGTCTTACCTTCCTGGGCAGAGCTGCAAGCCCAGGAATGGTTCAGTTATTCTCTGCCTTTTTGCCTGGAAGGTATTAGTCACAGTTACTTGAAGAGCCTTGGCTTCTCAGTTGAATGAAAAACTCCCTTAGGTGTTCAGCATAAGGGGATTTCCAGAGGGTGGAGCAGATGCTGGTTGTTAATGACCCTCTATTTGCATTTTAATGGCCACCAGGTGGGGTTGAATCTCCAAGGGAGGGGCCGCTGCCTCTCCCCAGAGCCCTGGGAAGGAGTAAGATCACCACTGTCCAGCGTGACTGCAACTCAGCAAAAACTCTGAGCGCCCTCCAAATCCCGAATGTACCCACCCAGTTCCAGTCCAGTCTGCCCTCTCTCTGCTGGAGCCCAAGGTGAGTGGCTATGGCTATTTTTTTTAATTTCTTATCCTCACGCGAGGACATTTTTCCATTTTTTGTTCAGATAGAGTGGGAGGGAGAGAGAGAGGAAGAGAGAGAGAGAGAAACATCGATGTGAAAGGGACACATCGAGTGGCTGCCACCCGCACGACCAACCAGGGCCGGGGACAAACTGCAACCGAGGTACATGCCCCTAGCGGGAACCGAACCCGGGTCTCTCTGTACCGCAGGCCAACGCTCCAACCGCTGAGTCAAACCGGCCAGGGCGGCTATGGCTATTTTAGCGTCTGTCCTGGCTCTGCGCTGTGGAGCCACTTGGGAGTGTACCCCCAAGGGCGCTGCTCACAGCTAAGGCCACTGCTGTCTGTGGGCTTCCAGCCCTCCTCTCGCACCTCCACAATCCTACTAGGATCGAGTCAGTGTCCCTGGTTATATGGTCCTCCAAGCTGCTTTTCTGTTGCTTTTCCCTGACGATTTGTCTTTATCTTCGTTATAATTCCAGTTTGGTCCTGGGAGGTGGTCTGTGTAGCTTCCATTCACTCTGCCACCATTTTGGAATCTCACAAGGGGCCACTTTTATAGAGAACTTGTAATTCTTGAAATTTTTGCCTGATGAGTTATATTTTTGTTAATCTAGTATTCTCTGACATTTATGCTTTTCTACCAATTGCAATTTTCCCTACTGTCTTAGATAAATATAAATAAAAATTTCCTTATATTTCAATTAGGGAACTCAAAATCATCTAAGTCATAAAGAATGTATACTGATATCAGTGGGATAATAATTAGCTTAATAAAGTCAGAAGTTCTCAAAGATAGAAAAAAACTGGGCTTGATTTTTTTGCAGTCAGTTCTGCTACTTGAGAGCCTAGAAGAGGAACCCCTTTCTGAATGAAGTAAAAATAATTCAAAACTTGACCCCAGTTCACTTACCATAAGTATCATAAAGTACCTTATTCACCCGAGAAAAACCAGTAATTTCTGCTTTGCAAGGCAGAGGGCAAGGTTGAACAACAACAAAAATGTGCTTTAAAGGTGATTTACTAGTTGTGTCACCTTGGGCATGCTTCTAACCTCTTTGAGACTCAGTTTCCTCATGTGTAAAATGGGACCACCACCCATCGCTAGGGTTTTTAAATGCCCTGCCCAGTGCCAGCACAGAACTGTTGTACACCACGAGTTCTCTTCTTACCTTTCAGCTTCTCTGGCCTTTCAGAACCACTGTGATGCACTGCTTGCTCCCTTTTATAACTCATAGAGCACTTAAAGTCTATACCACACATCACATATTAATCTGAATTCTTAGCCTCAAACTTCCAGAGACCCTAAATAAGCTTGTATACTTACTTCTTCTGTGACCACTACACGCCACTGGAAACAAGTAAGAACTCCAATAAAAATTTGTTAGATAAATTGCACTATTTAAGAAAAACAGAAAACACTAACAATCAAAACAGAGAAAGAAATGGCAAAAGTTACACAACTATTTAGCTATTCTTGTCTGATAAATTATCAGTTGTCTGACCATTATTTTAAGCGGTACTTCTGATTCTTCCTCGGTTCAATGGTTGATTGACATCTGTGGTAGCCAGCTTCCAAGATGGCTCCCAATAATTATTACCTCCTGATATTTACCTCCCATACTAGCTTTGTGTAACAAAAGAATACTGCAAAAGTGACAGTGTTAACTTCAGAGACTTAAAAAAAAGGCACTGCAGCTATGGCTTTGTTCTCTTGAATCACTTGCTCTGGGAGGAACCAGCCATCATGCTGTGAGGACAGATGGCTATGTGACCTTGGGAAACTTAGGTGACCTTCCTGAAGTTCAGTTTTCCTCACCTTTAAAATGAAGATATTTCACAGAGTATTGTGAAGATTAAATTAGACATGCAAGTAAACCACATAGCAGGATGCCTGGCACATAATAAGCCTTCATTAAATGTGGCTAATACTGGTGGTAGTGGTGGCCTTGCATGACATTTGGTCCTGTCCAAATGCCCATGGAGATCATTTGGACTACACCAAACCCATCTACCTAACTCCATGTGCCATGATCAGCTAGGCTACTGTGGCTAGAAGGGTCATTATTGGCAATACAGCCCCAACACAATTATTAGACCAATAAAACATGATAGTATTTTTAATGCATTGCTACTATAAATAAACATTATGTTTGAACCCAGCGACATTTACTAAGTGTGGATGCTTTTGACGGGACCAAATTTCAAGGGCCTCTGGTGTGGACCAAATGTCTCTGGATGTTTTGAACAGGACAAAATATCTGCTAATCGGTGGTGGAGGTGGTAGAAGCTGCAGCAGCAGGGATTGGATGTGAGATGTGAAGGAAAGAATAAAATCAAAACTGATTTTTAGGTTTTCAGCTTGAAGAACTAAAGTGATGCTATCATTTACTGAGTTTGGGGACAATGAAAGAAAAGTTGTGGAGAACAAGGGCATTCTTTTTTTGGATCAAAGGTGCTTAAGTCTCAAACAGACAATATTAAAATGATCTTTCGGTCACTTATAAACAGCATACCATTCTTCTCTAAATTACTTCAAACTGTTTTTTGCTTTAAGTAATTCATTCCTGGAATACAAAAAAAAATTGTTGAAGTAAAAATGACATGAATTCCAGAGGCTAAATTACTCTGCCATCAATGGCCATGTAACCCTGAATGAGTCACTGTTCTTTTTAACATTTTTTAAAAGTTGATTTTAGAGAGAGAGAGAAAGGGAGAGGGGAGAGAGAGAACACTGATCAGCAGCTTCCTGCATGCCCCCCACCAGGGACCTGGCCAACAACCCGGCATGGGAACCAAACCAATCAAAACGGCGACCTTTTGGTGCATGGGTGGACACCAACCCACTGAGCCACACGGGCCAGGCCCACTGTTCTTAAATTATGGCAAACATTGCAAAGATGAATAGCAGCAAACAAAGTGAGATAGTTCTCACTTTGGTTTAGGGAGAAATATTAGCAAACATTGGGGAGGATCTGTGCAATCACCATGAAATAAGGTAAGCATTGGGGTTGAGAAATGGCAAAGTACTTCTATTAATTTTAAATGAAGATTTACTGATAAAAGTACTCAGACTTGATGAAATTAGATTTCTGTTCTCATTCTGACTCTCACTGGTTTAATCTCCTAAGAAAGGGTAGTGTGTGACGCAGGTCTGGCTTCCCAGCTGTGCGCACTTAGCTTCCATTTAGTTACTAGTTCTGACTGGTTAAATAATTCTATACATAAAACTGGTTTCACAATTCTTTATATCATTTTATCTGAAGCATATTTGGTCTTCAGATTCTCTTTCAGATTGTCCAAGTCCCTTACAAAATGCTCCAAATCAACTTTAAATCTGAAAGGAGGAAGTACAGGGCCATTCAAAGTATAATGAGCTAGTTCTTAGTAACAAAGTTGGGATGCAAATCCCTGGGTGTGGTCTGTGGTCACAGTGCTGCACTGGGCCTTACTTCTTTATCCTTAAAACAAAGGTTTATACCCATAGGTGATCATGAAGTTCTATTCTAGCACTACGATATTTAATTCTACTACGCTTCTGTAGGTATGAAACCTTTTGAGTTTTGTTTCCCTTTATTTTTTATAAAGATGAATTGCAAATAAGCCATCCACAGATGGTTTTACAAAGTTTGTACCAATATTTTATAAGGTCAATACGGAGTGGTTCCCTCTACCACTGTGTTGTGTAAAACTAACTAGCCATGAGGATTAAAACTTTGAGCTTCAATCAAGCATGCAAACAAAGCTAATTGAGGTACAACTGGGTCATAAAATAATCACATGGAAGTACGGTATATATGGCCCACAAACTTCCTCTCACTATAGAAACAGAGAAATTAGTTGTTTTCTTTTGGGTGGGGGAGAGGTAGCTGCTACATTTACAACTATTGAATTTCTACAATACTGTTTAATTTCCTTTTTTCACACCACTGTCGTAGGTGTTATGCAAGAATCTCCGCACACTGACAAACCTGAAAGACACTGAAAGAGTAATGATCAGAAAATTTTAAGTCTGAAGTTTAGCATCACTGCCCTGAACAACAGAGCCTGGTCCACATAAACTACTTACACAGGTAAGACTGATCCAGGTAAGACTGATCACCTACTTTTACCTTGAAAGTTAACTGTAAAAATACAAACAGATCTGAAACATTTAAATTTTGAAGACTGATCATCAAGAAAGGTAGTCAGCATATTAATTATGTAAATAATTTTTAGTAACTGAAGTTAGAGTTGTAGAACTTTTTTTCATTTGTCAAATTAGCAGAGACAAAATGTGTGCATGACTCAGGACAGACACTATATTGAAGGAAATGCTCACTTGTAGACTTTTTTTGGAGAGCAATTCTGTATATATAACATGTAATTTTTAATTGATTTCTTAAGCTTAACAGAATTTCCAAAATTTTAGAAAATAGCTATCCAGTAGTTTTATAATTGAAGTTTATTTTGAAAGGAGAGGTGCATAGTACATACATACATGTTCGATGTTCGGGAAGCTAAAGATGTGAACTAGTTGTCATTTGTTACACTGAAGTTCGACAGTGTCTCAATGTCATCAGTATCATAATTCTAGACTCTGTGAAAATCTTTTTTACCTCCCTTCTTTTCTGAAGCATTTGCTAGTGTGAAATAGAAAAGCAAGGCAATGGTAATGGGTAATATGAGATACCAGATGCTGTATGAGGTGGTCTACTTAAAAAAAAAAAAAGGAGCCCTGGCCGGTTTGACTCAGCAGTTGGAGCATCAGCCTGTGGTCCAGAGAGACCCAGGTTCGGTTCCCACTAAGGGCACGTACCTCGGTTGCAGTTTGTCCCCGGCCCTGGTTGGGTTGTGCGGGTGGCAGCCACTCGATGTGTCCCTTTCATGTCCATGTTTCTCTCTCTCTTCCTCTCTCTCTCCCTCCCACTTTATCTGAACAAAAAATGAAAAAAATGCCCTCGGGTGAAGATAAAATAAAAAAGGAATATTATCTATTAATACAGAAACACTACTTACGTTTACAGATTTTTAGTAATAATGTATTATTTCTTCAAGGCGGGGGGTTAGTGTTTTTCTTTAATATTATAATAAAAGAAAGCTCCATTCCTAATGGGAAATAAAAACTATTTTGATCAAATACATGTTTCTTAAGAAATAAACTGGCTTACTTCACTTTTTAGTTGACTGATTTGTTACAGTTTAGGTTTAATATATTTACAACCAGATATTATACACTAACTGCAACCGGACTCCAATTTGCCAGGTGGCAGTAGATTCAGATACACTAACTGTGAAGCAAACGAACTATTTGCTAAATAAAAATTGTAAAGAAAGAAAATAAAATGACAAATACACTGATAGACATTAATTGTCTCAGTATTTGAACCGAGAGACACTGCACTGCTCTTAAGCTTTCAAGTCTTTAGGTGGGTATTGCTTGGTTTAAAAAATTATTTCAAAATTATAATAGGGATTTTTTTTTTTCAAATATACTATTTCTGCAATCCAAGAGGTAAAAATATAACCATGATTCTGAAGAGGGATAGAGAGCAAAATAGCCCTGAGGAGCTGGGGCCATAGAAGAATCTTAGAAGGCCGTGTATGGGAACATTTTTTTGTTTATCAAAAGAGAGAATATATAAAAATGTGATTGAGAACCCTCACTCTAGATTATAAAAGAATGAAGAATGTGCTACCTAGAAAGTTATGGTGAAAAGACAAAGAAATGTGGCACATTCTGAACAGAGCTCATGATTCTTATTTGACCAGAATCCAGTAACTTTTATTATTACTACCTGAAAGGAAGAAGGACATGAAAAAATATGAAAAGGAGTTCGCACGTGACTCTTCTACCCTTCATGTGTACCCTTTGAAGAAAGATTTAAAAAGACATAAAAAAGCAAAAACTACACCTGCATTTATGCTGTGATTAAAATAGCTTCTAAAAAACATATTCTCTGAAAAACCAAGATATTCAGTTACACACAAGGACACATGAGGGCACTCTAACCAACAAGCACAACTACAGTTTTGACAGAATTTTAAAGTAAATGTTTTATTTAAGTATGACAGTTTAGCATTAAATATTTGAAATAAGAAACCTGGCCGGTTTTCTCAGTGGTTAGAGTGTTGGCCCGTGGACCAAAGAGTCATGGGTTCAATTCACATACCTCGGTTGTGGTTTGTCCCAGGCCCTGGTTGGGGTCATGTGGGAGGCAACCAGTCGATGTGTCTCTCTCACATCGATGTCTCTCTCTCTTTCCCTCCTGCTCTATCTGTAGATATAGAAAAATATCTTTGGGTGAAGATTAAAAAAAAATTGAAATAAGAAATTACTAATGACCTTTGGTAAAGACCCTGGGATTTTTGTGTTTATCCTTCGTTACTATACTTTCCAGAATTCTGTTCACTTCAGGATCTTGCCTGAATATTTGTTTATGTGAGATTAAGTTTACTCCTGAAATATAAAAAGAGACTTTTCTAATAGTAGTAGATTATGGAGAAGTGCTTTAACCTAGCTATGAAAAGACACCATTTTGAAAAGTATTTGTGTACAATTAAGGTGATAATTAAAAATCAGTCTTCTATTTATGTGGTCACAAAATGCTTTTGCAACACTTTCCTTTGGCTAGTATGCATTGAATGTGCCTTAAAAATTTTAAATGACCTTTCCAGGCAAAAATCAATTGTTATTTATAAATTGCTTTACAATCTAATATAAGAACTATAAATTCCTCTAGTACAAAGTGACAAAACTCAGGCATTTAACTATTTGTATCAAATTTTGTTTTTTAGACAAAGGCACTTTTCACAACAATCAATTTTTTGCTTTTATTTCAACTGGACAATTGTGATCAGAAACGGTGAGAAGACATTTATACTTTCCCTTTCCAAACAATACATTTATGTTACTATTTTATCCAATGCCTTAAAAAAACATTTAGCTTAAATACCATCTATAATTTTAATATTAAATATTGGGGGTGGGGGTGGGGAGAGGGTAGAGGTGGAAAAGGGTGTAGGGGGAATAAAAGTTTAAAAAAAGTATCTGTAACTCTATTCTAGCTCCTGTGACAGAATTCAAGAAAATCTGATATAAATGAGTAACAACTCAGCATGTATTCAACCATCCATGATCTCTTCCATGGCTTTACCAACCATTTATATCTTCCTTTGTATCATTGGTCTCTTCGGAAATTCCCTCTCTCAATGGGTATTTTTAACAAAAATAGGCAAGAAAACATCAACTCACATCTACCTAGCACATCTGGTGACTGCAAACTTACTTGTGTGCAGTGCTATGCCTTTCATGGGTATCTATTTCCTGAAAGGTTTTCAATGGGACTATCAATCAACACAATGCAGAGTGGTCAATTTTTTGGGAACTCTATCCATGCATGTAAGTATGTTTGTCAGTCTCTTAATTTTAAGCTGGATTGCCATAAGCCGTTATGCTACCTTAATGAAGAAGGATTCCATACAAGAGACCACTTCGTGCTATGAGAAAATATTTTATGGCCATGTACTGAAAAAATTCCGCCAGCCCAACTTTGCTAAAAAACTGTGTGTTTACATATGGGGAGTTGTATTAGGCATAATTATTCCAGTTACCATATACTACTCAGCTGTAGAGGCTACAGAAGGAGAAGAGGTCCTGTGCTATAACCGGAAGATAGAACTAGGAGCCGTGATTTCTCAGATTGCCGGCCTCATTGGAACCACATTTATTGGATTTTCATTTTTAGTCGTCCTAACATCATACTACTCTTTTGTGAGCCATCTGAGGAAAATAAGGACCTGTACATCCATAATAGAGAAAGATTTGACTTACAGTTCTGTGAGAAGGCATCTTTTGGTCATCCAGAGTCTACTAATAGTTTGTTTCCTCCCATATTGCATTTTTAAGCCCATTTTTTATGTTCTACACCAAAGAGATAACTGTAAACAACTGAATTATTTAATAGAAATAAAAAACATCCTCACCTGTCTTGCATCAGCCAGAAGTAGCACAGACCCCATTATATTTCTTTTTTTAGATAAAACGTTCCAGAAGACACTATATAATCTCTTTACAAAATCTGAGTCAACACATATACAACCCTCTGGTTGACTTCTGAATGGAAAACACCACCAAATAAAAAATGGTTCATAGGACTCTATGAGGGACACTAAACTACATGATCAATAGGTCATACCTTGGTTGATAACAGGCACTCAGAAAACTTCTTTGGTTTAAAAAAATAATCTAAAACGTACTTCACAGTTCAATTTATACTGAAGGTTGAGATGGCAGAGACTTTCAGAGACAACGCATATTGAGAGGATCCTCCTGCATATGAAATCAACAGACCATTTTCTATTTAAATTCAACTGTGGATGCTCCCATTCAGAACACAGTATTTCATGACTGTAGGATAAAGAAACAAATGGTGTATGACTTTTCTGTTTTCTAGTAGTTAGAATACAAGGGTCCATCTATGGATAGTGTTTTGTTGGTAACTTTAAAAATGAGTAAAAGAAAAAGTGAATAAGAAATTTCCTCACTTAAGTCCTATCTAAATGTATGAATGATACACTGTAAGAATCCAATGTATTAGAACACATTATTTATTTGGTATTATCTGGCCCATGTTACTAGGGGAAGCAATATTCATTGACTCTAGTATTTATTAAACAGATGTTATTTATAAATATGCTTAAATATTTGGATTAGACTTTGTCAAAATAATGAGCTAATACATTATCATTATATGCCAATGTCCATCACATTTTGTGTATTTCTTCTGCATTTAATATAAATAATGTTGTTATTAATGACAAATAGTACCTGACATGTAGATATGTTCAATGAATTTTTGTGAAATGAGTGAATGAATGATAAGGCAGTACAATGACATCATTGTTGAGAGATTGGTCTCTGGAGCTGGAGTCCCTGGGCTCAATCCTAGCTCTGTCTCTTATTTAGCTGGACAACTGTAGGCAACTTAACTTCTTTAAGTGTTAATTTCTTTATATGTAGAATGGAAAAATACTAGATAATTCACAGATACTACTATTAAATCAGATATGTTACTATTATGAGTAGCTACCACTTACTAAGCACTTGCTCTGTGCCAGGCATTCTTCTTACATGCTTTACATGTATTATTTTAATTATCACAGTGCTAAAGTATGTCAATTTACTGATAAAAAACTGAAGTGCATAGTTAAGTAAGTTGCCCAAATTTTCTCCAATATCTAAGTAAATATTTAAAGAGTAAGCATTTCTTAATGGTCATTTATTTCTTCTATGTAATCTGGTCAGTAAGACAAATGATGGTGACTGTATTATATACATTACAATTATTATTTTTAAAAAATGAGTGTTTTATCTTCCCAAAGAGATCATAAGCACCTTTGGAACTATAGTGTGTTTTCTATTTCTATTCCCATGGTGCATTGTCTGCTCAGATAAGAACCAAACAGCCCTGGCTGGTTTGGCTCAGTGGTTGGAGCGTCGGCCTGCAGACTAGGGTCCTGGGTTTGGTTCCCACTAGGGGCACATACCGAAAAAAAAAAAAAAAATGAACCAAACAAAAAAGTAAATAAAAATGAAGTTGTGAATAAACATTAATTGTAACCTGTTACTTAGAGACTGCTTAAAGACTCATTTATTCTCTACATGGTAATTTTTTCAGTGCTAAAATAGAAGTTTCAAGTAAGTTCCCACAGCACTTCCAAGCCTTTAAACTCACAGCATGTTTTGTAAATGTAGAAACAATTCACTGTACAGATTCCCCAAGAGCCATGTGATCAATATCACTAGAGGTTTTTCCAACACACCTACACAATTTTAATTTACAAAGAATAGAAAACAAACAGTAAATATTTTTTTTTCCTTCTCATTTTTTACTTCCACGCTTCATTGAGAGAAGAAAATGTCCAGAGAAAAGTCTGAAAAAACACATGCCGGATTCAAATATTTACAGTGTATATCTATTCTTTTATAGTAGGAAATTGATTTCTGGCTGATTAATTTGCAGAGACAAAGGCAGACCTGGAAACTCCAGGGCTAACCCTGAGTGCTCACTGCAGACAGAGATGTCCAAGCCAGTAACTTCATAGACATGAGAATCACAGAATAGCACAAAGTTAACAAGGACAGTTCCTGAGAATACAGCCTTTCTCCAGTTTACCAGTAGTTTTATTCTTATACAAACCAAAACTCATTAGATTAAGAGGGACTGAGAAGACTATCAATAGTTTTCATTTAACATAAGTCATACTGTATTAAATCTCACTGCACTTAGGATTTTAAATATATATATCTTCTAAAAATCATTATTTTAAAAAGTCACTTTACATTGCTACTACTTTAAATAAAACATAAAAGATATTGCCAAAATAGTTTCCTACATTTAAAAAAGGCAGAAATAGTTATGTAATTTTTCTTTAAGTTGCTCATTCTGACAGAAAACTCCCATTTAATTATCTGTACTGAGTTTATTAAACTCACCATGTTTTAATAGTCTGAGGCATGGGGTAGTCCCAGAGACGGGGAAGTGGGGTACAGACTGACAATCCCCAGAACAGGGGGTGGTGGGAGAGAGATAAATCACAGAACTTATATGCATGTGTGCATGAACAATGGACATGGACAACAAAGCTGGGGACAGGGTGTGGAGGGAGGGGGGGAATCAATGGGGGGAAAAGGAGAAATATCTGTAACAAAAATAAATAAATTAATTAAAAAAATAAATAAAAAACACACCGTTTATCTTTACACCATAGAAGCGAACTAACTGGCTATTGAAAGTCATGGCACATAATCACTTTGTAAATTTACCCTAACTTTAAAGTACGGATTTCAGTACCCTAACTTTAAAGTACGGATTTCAGAAAAACAGTGTTTTTAATGCTTCTGTGAGTTATATAGTCAAACAATTTCAGAAACCCCAAGTTTTGATTTAGGACAACAAGATCATATCTTAAAACAGGCCACGACAAATGTTTATTTCCCCTTTTATTTTATTTTATTTTTTTAATGAATTATTTATTTATTTTTTTGTTACAGATATTTTACCTTTTTACCCCATTGGCACCCCCCACCCCACCCCACCTCCGCCCCGTCCCCCGGCTTAGTTGTCCATGTCCATTGGTCATGCATACATGCATATAAGTTTGTGGTTTATCTCTTCCCACCCCCCCCCCCTTTTTCCTTTTCACAGACATACCTCTCATTAAGGCAAACTTTCCAACTATGAATCAGGAACACAAACTATTAAGACTATTAAGCAAAATTAAGATAGTCTACTCAACATGGAAGTGAGTTTCTACTCCCTGGGTAGAAGAGGAGGATGTCCATTCTTTTCGGATTTGGTTAAGGGTTCCCATAGCCCACCCCTGGCCCTGCCATCTGCAGGGTGGGAGACGTTATGAATACGTGTGGGAAGATAAGCTGAAAGGAAATTTTACTTGACAAATCACAAAGGGGGCACAGAGGGACACTGGCCATATGCCAAGCATTTCAATGGTGCAGCCGAACGCCGTGGACTTTCCTCCAACTGCCCCCAAATTCAAGGGGCACTGCTCTCAGAGGGAAGGGTTTCTACAGCTAGAAAGGTCACGTACACAGCCGCCAGAAAGCCTGCTTTGCTACACTCTACAGGCCTGCTGCCTCTGGACCGGAAGAGGCAGAGCAGTGAAAGGATTCACATCTAATAAGCAAAAGAAAGTCATTCTTTTCTTTCGAAATCAAGGAGCTGATATTTCCGAAGGGTGCGGCTGGGAGAAGAGAAGCACAGCCGTTAGAAAGCCAAAGGTAAATTTAAGACCGCCTTACAATTCATGAGGCGTTTCGAAGTCCAATTATTAAAACCCCACATTCAAGCTGAACATGCACTTTTACACTCAACGGCCTTCCAAATGCAGAAGATTAACCAGTATGCTGCTTTCTTTAACATGAGAGATTTTCAGGAGCTGCGGTAAGGGATGTAACAGAAATGTCAGCAACCAAGAGCAATAGAGGAAGAACTGTTAACAAACCCACAACGCCATGGCAACCAGCATGATATCATGAACGCCCATTTATAATCAAGCGTGGCCTGAAGCAGGTGAAAGGAGAAGTGAGAGGAGAGGGGAACAAAGGGCAGCCAGGCGTGCTCACGAGGTTAGCTAGGAAAACCACTTAAGGGAAGCGCACAAAGAAATGCTGGGCGGAGGCTCTGGCTGTGTCTGTGTCACTGGGGTTTTTGCCCAGTTCTGAGAACTAAAAACTGAGTCCCCCCAAACCTCCTTGACACACAGGCCCTACTCAGAATAGAAAGTGAGATAGTGTAGTGCTCTGCCTTCAGAGAAGGTGCTGAAATTCAACTTTAGTTATTAGGATTGTGGTCAGCAGGTCAGAGCCACAGAAAGGTGTGAGGATTGCTGTCTCCCCATACCCAGGGGATGCACTGTGCGACTGTTTCCAGGAGTTAAGAGAGACAAGAGAACCCCACCAACACTCCGTGCTTAACAGAACCAGTGCAGGCAGGCAAGGGGCCAGGAGTTGCATTTACCGTGACAACTGTACCATTTCTTTCTGAAGTACTTTTAATTTAGGGGTGAGAGGAAGAAAAGAGAAAAACACTGAAACATAATGAAAGTTTTCACATCTGAAGCAGAAGAAAGTGACAGAAAAAAAAAAAAAAGGAATTTGCATGCATATGTTAACGAATGCCTGTGCGGAGGCAAAGCCTGAGAAAGATAACATTATACTGTCTTGACCAGGGGTGATTTTTGTGCCCCAGGGGACATTTGGCAATGTCTGGAGACATTTTTGTTCTTGTTTTTTGTTCATCCTCACCCAAGGATATTTTTTCACTGATTTATTTTTTAGATGGAGTGGAAGGGAGGGAGGGAGGAAGAGAGAGAGAGAAACATCATGTGAGAGAGACACATTCATTGGTTGCCTCCCACACCACCCTGACCAGGGCCAGGGATGGAACCTGCAACTGAGGTTCTTGCCCTTGACTGGAAATCGAACACAGACCCTTTGGTTCCACAGATGCTCTAATAGCTGAGCCAAACCAGCCAGGGCTGTTTTTGTTGTTGTTAATCCTCACCTGAGGATATTTTTCCATTGATTTTTTTTTTTATCCTCACCCGAGGACATTTTTCTGTTTTTTGTTCAGATAGAGTGGGAGGGAGAGAGAGAGAGAAACATCGTGTGAAAGGGACACATCGAGTGGCTGCCACCCGCACGACCAACCAGGGCCGGGGAC